GTATAACCTTAATATTTACAACCAGATGGTTGGTTTCATTTTTTGAATAATAAATTTCCGGTGTAGTTTTAACAGTTATATCAAAAATTACTGATTTGGTTATACTATTAAAAATACACAGACCAATAGTTATGAAATTATTGTGAGGTTTAATAAGTTAACTGTTTATATTTGGACAACTTTTCTGCAGTACTTCATTGGAAGGAGAAAAATAATCATTTCCTTAATAACAATTTAAACAATTTATTGAACTAAAACAATAACATTATAGCATATGTATCCATGTTTGTTAACTGATGTTAAACAATTAAAAAAAAAACTTAGACTGAGTTTGAGCTCACATGAAAAGCGTAAAACAAATCCTTATTTCCTGATGAATAGGCTTTGGACTATAATGTGACTTAAATAGAAAACTATCTTTAGAAAGATTTTTCCTCCAAAAGCGTTTTATTTTAAAAATTCTATTTAAATAAAAAAATCTGATTTTTTCAAATAAAAAAAATAATCATTGATTTTTATCCACCCTGGTTGTATTTAAAAATCAGCAGGTAGCATTACATGACCCCACCAGCCTGTACACAGCCAGGCAGCATTGGTCCAGTCCCTCAAAATCAGTCCAGTCCCTCAAAATCCTAAACCAAATTTTAAAAATGGCTACTTCACCACTGTTCTGGCGAATCCTCTTGACATTCAGCCTGGGCAACCCACATTAAGCCCCCTGTCACCATGCAAAATGTCCTAAATTGCTCGATCACATCTCTTGTAATCATTTTACATAACAGGATAACATGGATCATAGCACCATGTACCACAGGATTAAAAAATAACGTATATGAAGAAACCATCAAGGTACAGTACCGTAATGATTATATTTTTAGAAAGAGATGCCCCCCAGATAAAATATATTAAAAGGCTCGTCTGTGCATGTTCACACCTCAGGACCTGTTGTTTTGCGCCCAAATGCTGCTAACTGCTACATAACCATGTGGAAACACAGACTCGCAGTCATGTGTTTGATCTTGCAATATATAACACCCAGAAACATTTCCTCTAAAAGCGATGCTTCAGCAGCAGCAGCGAGAAATCCACTTGGCCGGAGCTGAGAGGATCATTTCCAGGAACAGCCTGGCCATATCCTGCCAGAGAGGTGGAGTCGGGTGAAAGGTACAGAAATTATACTTTGCAAGTTTGCACATTTCTTTTCCAGAGCAAGACCGAAATGCCCCTTCTTTACAGTGACATCCCATGCAAAGCAACAACTCGGTAGCTCCCATATTGTTTTCTTCTGATCACTTAGTTACCGCCATGCTGTGGCCGAAGCCTCTTTGTTTGTGACATAGGTTGCCATGGGGAGACATTAGGGGACAATAATAAAAAGGCCCCTAAGGCCACTGGTTTTCAATTATATCTGGAAAATAGCTGAGAGTATTTTTGTAATGATGGGAAAGACAAGTCATCATTCAGGAATGGTGTGGCCGTTTCGTACGATGAGGCTTACCCTAGGCTTACCCTTGGCAAGCGCAGTGTTTAAACTAGTGTCTTCCAAAAGGAAGCTTCCTTTAGTTGCCAGATAGAAATAATTATCTGGGACTCAAGGCTCATGCCAATGAAAGACGCAAGTGAGTATTAAAGTATACTAGAAATCACACTAAAATAAACAGAGTCTCCCCTCCTGCTGAGTGACAGCTACTACAAAACATCAAACATTTATCAGATGATAAGCCCAAATACAGTGGTACCTCTGGTTACGTACTTAATTTATTCCGGAGGTCCGTTCTTAACCTGAAACTGTTCTTAACCTGAAGCACCACTTTAGCTAATGGGGCCTGCCGCTGCTGCCACGCCACCGCCGCCCAATTTCTGTTCTCATCCTGAAGCAAAGTTCTTAACCCGAGGTACTATTTCTGGGTTAGCAGAGTCTGTAACCTGAAGCATATGTAACCCGAGGTACCACAGTACACATAAAACAATAAGTATCCTAATTAAGATGTTATGAAATACTTGACAAATGGAAGAGAATCAGAATTGTGCCTGCTGGTCTTATCCTGACACCAGACAAGGTCTGCCACCATGATCCTTCTCTGCACTCCATGAGATGAGTTGATGCACTTTCAAAGGCCTCAAAAGGATTGCTGTCTACCCGAAATTCAATGAATAGGAAAACAAAAAACCTGTTGTGACATAAATCACAGAGCATTGGTCGTCAACTCCCCTTTTAAAAACAGAAGCAACATTTTGAATTGAGTTAATCCAGATGGACCACTGGCTTCACCCAGCGACTAAGGGTCAAAAACTAGACGTGATGTTAATGGTGTGTTTGCAATTAATGTGCATGGTTTCTGCTATGTAAATAACAGCTGCAGGGAAATCTGAGCAGCCTCAGGACTCTTTCTCACCCTCCCCTAAAAATCACCTCTGTGGTCTAAACCAGAGCCTCTTGGGCTTGCCGATCGGAAAGTCAGTGGTTCGAATCCCTGTGATGGAGTGAGCTCCCATTGCTCTGTCCCAGCTCCTGCCAACCTAGCAGTTCAAGATCATACCAGTGCAAGTAGATAAATAGGTACTGCTGCAGTGGGAAGGTAAACGGCATTTCCGTGCACTCTGGTTTCCGTCACGGTGTTCTGTTTCACCAAAGTGGTTTAGTCATGCTGCTCACATGACCTGGAAAGCTGTCTGTGGACAAACAGTGGCTTCCTCGGCCTGAAAGCGAGATGGTCACCGCAACCCCAGTCGCCTTTGACTGGACGTAACCATCCAGGGGTCCTTTACCTTTATATTTTTACCGTTTGCATTTCAAGGGAAACCTCCACTGAAAATAATGGGAGCATCCGTTAAAATGCAGATAGCAACCTATGAGATGATGTGTCTGTGTGTGTGCGAGCATGTGTGTGTAGAGAAAGAGTGTGGCAGGAAGAGTTAAACTTCTCTATCTCACTGCTTCTTCGCTGCTGCTACGGGTACCATGGTTAGTCCTGTTGAGCCTCTTGTGGAACTGTGAGATGCCCAGAGCCATTGACATGATCACCCCTGAGAGCCCTTGCCATCATTGTAGAGCACATACATTGCCTTGGTACTCTGGTGGCCCATATGAAATGAAGCAGGAGGGTTCATGGCTAGCACACAGGTGGCCCTAACCTGACCTAACGCATAGGAGGTTGCATTACCACACCTACCACACCTTCTCTTCTCAGAGCAATAGAGCCAATTTCCCTGTGTCACTTGCACAGGAGAAACTGGGCGAGTCACATAATAAAGAGGAATAATCTATCCTGCTGATCACAGTGGGTAGGAGAAGATGGCAAAGAGCCATTTGTCTATGTCTATGTGGGGGATCCTTGGGAATTGGATTTATGCTGGGGGCTGAGTGGGAAACATCTTGAAGCTGGGTTCAACCTCAGGGCTATTAGTTGTCCATCCTTACCATCGTCAAATCCCCGTTTCTCCAAAGTTTGCAATGCAGTTCTTCTGTCTCTTGCCTGTTGCAACGTTCACGCAAGTTTTGTGAATGAACACCAAATGGGAGGATGCGGTTGGCTGAAACAACTGTTTTACATAGCTGGTGCAAATATCAATGTCTTCCAAGAAAGCCCTATTAGATCACTATTTTCAGTCTGCTGCATTTGTTCTGGATTTATTTTCACTGTGTTTCTAATGACACGTGTTTTCGTTGTTTTGAATTATCATATCTCCATAAAGATCTATTACGGTAATTCACAATGCAGCAAAGAGAAATTTAAATCATTGTAGCACTGTCATCCTATGGCAGTTTTAAAAGGCCCCGGATTATTATTATTATTTTAAAAAGCACACAATCCTATAAGAACAATGCTAGAAACCTAAAGCAGGGATGCAGACCCGTCTTCAGCCTGAGGGCTATATTCTCTCATGGGCAAGAGCCACCAAGAGATTATTCTTTGGTGTGGCCAGAGGCACAAATGGCCAGAGACACCGTGAGCTGGAGGAATTGATGTGACTCTTAGCTTTGCACAACACAATAAGCTACACAAAACACAGAGGTTTCTATGTACACACCTCCACGCAGGCAAACAAGAGGCACAATCTCGATCCAGCCAAGCAAACACACTTGAGAGCAGGACTACTGAGAGGTCTGACGTGTGGAAAAGGTGATGTGGTCTGGAGACAGGCCTGAGGGTAGGGACACATTCGGTCTCCTAGGCCTGGCATTCCACCTAATTTAAAGTCTTATACAACAGCCACCTCAAACTTGATTCTTTAAAGGGTTCCCCTTTCAATAACATTGCATTCAGTAACAGGAACGCTGGAAAAAGACAGAGCTGTCTCTTTCATATTGCTGCGAAGTTTGCCTTTAAAATGTCCAGACCTGCGGCAAGCCTCCTGGTCTTCCCAGAACGCACAGCTGAAGGGAAACCTGTTGGATTAAAGTGGAAAATAGGATTCCCTGCAGTCAGGCAATCCATACCCTTTGCCTCCTGCCAACCCGGGGTGGTTTTTTTCCCATGCAGTGGGCTTTTGTTCGCTATGAAAGTCATCTGAGTATTTGTTAGTGCCACTGTGCTAGCCAGAAGATGTTTACTGTGCTAGCATCCAGCACAAGTCCAGCAACACTGGATGAGGTCAAGGCTGTGTTAACAGAAACGGACATACATTGTGATTCACCCTCCTCTCATCGACTTCATTTGCGTCTCTGCAAATTCGCAGACCTTCAAGCCATCGCTTGCTCCTGAAATAAAGCAGGATAGCTATCTAACAACGAAGTTTCTGTTTTGTGGCGATACAGCCCATTACTATTAAACAGGAGACGTTAGCCTCTTGACGTCAGGATCAGGAATAATAAAATAAGAACAGATTTGAAAAGGGGGAGTGGGAAGCCTCTGGCTTTTATTGTTTTGTGATTCAGCATGCATTGGGATTAAGTATTTCCCAACCACGATTCCGAGTGCTTAGAACAGCAGGGAAATCTAAACACGCAGAGATAAGCAAGGCAAGTCACCAAGAGATAAATCAATGTTGCAATTTACCTGCTGAAATTGAGAAGACACTGTCCACAAAGGAGGACTGAGATACAGCAAAGCAGAAAAGGAGCTGGAGATAAAATCCCAAAGCAATATGGCTGAGGAGGACCATGTTGGCTGCAAGCTGTACAATTCCAATGTGCAGGGCGCCGATATCTTGTCCACGGTCTTCTCTTGCCTGCCTGCCTCGTCTGTTTGCTTGCTTTCCCCCTTTCGCTCCCTCACTGGTTGGGTATGTTTATGTCTCTCTGTCTCTGCCTCTCTCCCTCTGTGAGCTTTAGTAAGAAAGAATGCCAACCATTTCCCATTAAATCTTCTCCTTACACTAGACAGGGCTATATTTAACTCAAGCGCTGGATCAGATGCCCCCATCACAAATACCAGCTATTAAAACATAGTCAGAGGACTAATGAAGAGGAGGAGGTTGATTTCAAGCTGAGCTGGGAACCACATATCTGATTGATAACCAGACAATCATTGAGAAAGCTCCTTTCATTCATTCATTGTCTCCTCCCACCCCACCCCTCGGCCCGACCAGGCCAATGAATGGTTCCTGACTAGGGATATGGACATAGGAACACCTTGTTTCTATATTCTGCTTCCCCTTTATATAGTTCATTTCAGGACTCACAGACCCTCCAAGTGTCCCTATTTTCCAGGGACAGTCCTGGATTTACAGAAGCCGTACCAGTTTCTGATTTGATCCCGGAATGTCCCGCTTTTCCTTAGGGCGTCGCAATTCATTGGAGAAATGTTGGAGGGCATGGACTCGGGAGGCTTAACAAACCATGCGCCGTTAAATATTGTACATTATTATAGCTATAATGATCATTAGAAAGTTTAATGGCACAGAAATCACCACCCATATTTTGTTACAAGCGTTATGGGTCTTCAGTAGCTTAATGGATAGATTGACAATGAGATGGTACAGAGAGTGTCAAATAGCACCGAAGCTGACTCTAGGATGGTTCAAAGAAGGCATGTTTTAAAGCACACCAGGGTGTACTTCCTACATACATTCTAGGACTGTTCCCCATCTCACAGGACCCTTTGTGAAATAATTTGGGGAGGAATGCATTAAAATGTACCAACTTGTGGAGCTTGCTTTCACTTACCTTTCTGCTATCAGAAGCATGGAAATGGAAAAATAGGTGTGTCTCCATAACTATTTGGGCAGCTTACCCACAATATTAATGTTACCTCAACTTCCTAGTGAAATACTTGATCCATTTTAATTGCTTTCTGGAACAAGAGAAAAGTGTCTACATAGACATTTAGAAGAAAACAAGGCACTGGTAATTAAAAAAAATAAATCAGCTCCCTTTATTAAATTGGCACTAATATTCTGCTGATCTGGTAAAGAAAATGGAATTATAAATGTTCTTTTTCTAAGCCAATTCCTACACTAATTAAATGAATTCAGGTTTTTGTTTTTCCTCCTACACTTTGCTGATCTAAACTGGTCTTAAATTAATGCATCCGTCCTCATTGTATCCAGTTTGCTGTGCAGTTTGAGATGATTTGGAAAAATGTTTGATGGGTTTGCTGCAAGCCACATTCTCTTGCAGAGGAAAGTTGGGTTGCTCTTGGTTGTCCACAAACTGATTCACTGCATTCTTTTTAACTGCAGTGAAAGAGCAGCCAAAACAGAGGGTAGGGAAAGTCCTCAAAACAACAAAAAACCTGCATTGCTGCGTGTTCTTGGAAGCAAACTGCAAGTTCATAAATTAAGCTTCAGTTCAAAGACACGTTTTCAGTGAGGCTGGTCCTTTTCACCATTAGGCTGGAAAAATAAGTATTTGGCTGAGGATAAGGCATGGGTAGGCAAACTAAGGCCCGGGGGCCAGATCTGGCCTAATCGCCTTCTAAATCTGGCCCGCGGACGGTCCAGGAATCAGCGTGTTTTTACATGAGTAGAATGTGCACTTTTATTTAAAATGCATCTCTGGGTTATTTGTGGGGCATAGGAATTCGTTCATTTCCCCCCACCCCCAAATATAGTCCGGCCCCCCACAAGGTCTGAGGGACTGTGGACCAGCCCCCTGCTGAAAAAGTTTGCTGACCCCTGGGATAAGGCTTTAATAGAGTGGGGCAGTTATTGCAAGATAATCTGGGTAACTGAGAAACACTTCTGAAGAGGGTATTCCAAACTCTTGAGATGCTTCTTCCAGGGCTAGCTTGGATCAAGCTTCTCCCATACACGACAGGAGAGCAAGCCACACCTTTGCCTGGCCTACTCAGTGCCCCAGCGGAGTTCTGATGATCCTGGATGTCCACACAAAGCATAACATTTGACTATAGCCAGCATGCATGGGCCCAGATTGTGTGGTTGATTACTGGATTTTATTCAGGAAATAGGCCCACATAAAGTAGAATTTATGTTTGGAGGTCCTATATTGAAAGTTAGTTCTGCTACCACAGTGGGGTCTACTTCCTTCTGAATTCGAGCAATTTTATCTGCAAAAAAATCCTTTAAAAAGTTGTTGCAAGATATCTTGGAGTCCAGTGGCAAAAGTGCTTCTGTTAGACTACAAACCACCTGAGTCTCCTGGTACTGTTTTCTGCAGATGCAACGGAGGCAGCGAAGAAGACCCTTCTTCGCCGTCACCACTTGGCAGTCCCAATGTTGAGCTCTAACCCGTGTTCAGAATGAGTTTTCTGCCACCAGCGCTCTAGTCATCTCTGTGATTGTTTCATCCCATATAAGCCCAGAGTTTAGGGTCTTTGACCTTTAAAGCCCTATGCAGCCTAGGACCCACGTACCTACGGGACCACCTCTCCTGGTATGCCCCGTGGAGTACCTTAAGGTCCACAAATGACAATATTTTGGAGGTCCCAAGTCACAAGATTGGTCTCAACTAGGGCCAGGGCCTTTTCAGTACTGGCCCTGACTTGATGGAACGCTCTGTCACAAGAGATTAGGGCCCTGCGGGACTTGACATCTTTCCGCAGGGCCTGCAAGACAGAGCAGTTCCGCCTGGCCTTTGGTTTGGACTCAGTTTGACCCTTATGTTTCCCTCCCCTTATGGTTTTGATCTATGGGCTACTTTTAAAATGAGGCTGCATTTTAAATTGCATTTTAACCTGTATTTTAAATTGGATCCCCCCCTCCATTATGTTTTTATTGTAATTTTTACTGTTGTTAACCGCCCTGAGCCCGGCTCTGGCCAGGGAGGGTGGGATATTACTAAATTTATTTTTATTTTTATTAATTATTATTATTATTGAAGGGACCCAAGGTTCATCCAGTCTGACCCCTTGCAACGCGTAAATGTAACGTAATGAAATTGATGGCAACAGATTTAAGCCAACCCAATCCCCAATTCCGGTGGTCACCTGTTTTCAGGGTGTGTGGAGGGAGGAGAGGTATGACAAATGCTGCACCTCGCACCGTCCTCATCTCCTCCACCTCTAACCGAGCTGCAAGGTCTACAGTAGAAGCAGAATCTTCACTTTTCGCAGAATGTACTTGGAATCCTCCGTGCCACCAGGATCCCCCCATTGTATGAATTCTAAGTGTGTTGACTTTATCATGTAAACATTCTCCGTTAAGAGCTTCCTGTTCAACATACAAGGATCCCAAGACTGCCAGCTGGTCAGGAAAGGACTTCACACCTGGACTGCCTTACTGGCAGAACTTTGCGCAATACCTAAAATCTATGGAATTCACCAAAAAAGTGTGGCAGTATTAAGCCTCCAGCTTGTTGTTGTTTCGTCGTTTAGTCGTGTCCGACTCTTTGTGACCCCATGGACCAGAGCACGCCAGGCACTCCTGTCTTCCACTGTTTGGTCAAACTCATGCTGGTAGCTTCGAGAACACTATCCAACCATCTCGTCCTCTGTCATCCCCTTCTCCTTGTGCCCTCCATCTTTCCCAGCATCAGGGTCTTTCCCAGGGAGTCTTCTCTTCTCATGAGGTGGCCAAAATATTGGAGCCTCAGTTTCACGATCTGCCCTTCCAGTGAGCACTCAGGGCTGATTTCCTTAAGAATGGAAATCTAAGCCTCTGGTTTAGAAGGCTATAAAAGAGGATTAGACCAATTCATGGAGAATCAGTCAATCAACTGCTTTATTTATAACGATTTCTGAATAGCAGGAACACAAGCAAATAATGGAAGTACAGTGGTACCTCGGGTTACATACACTTCAGGTTACAGACTCCGCTAACACAGAAATAGTACCTCGGGTTAAGAACTTTGCTTCAGGATGAGAACAGAAATTGCGTGGTGGCGGCAGCGGGAGGCCCCATTAGCTAAAGTGGTATCTCAGGTTAAGAACAGTTTCAGGTTAAGAACAGACCCCCGGAATGAATTAAGTACTTAACCCATGGTACCACTGCATGTCTCCATGTTCTCTTCTTGGTCTTCCCCCGACTCAGCTGGCTGGCCACAGCTGAAACCTAGAAATTTGTCCTAATCCAAGTTACGTCCGAAGCCCTACTGAAATGTGTGGCCTGTCTCAGGTATTCAGGACTTTAATTGTGCACCACTTTTTCCCATTTCTTGAGACCTCATTAAACTCACAAAGGATCCATTTGCTTTTTTCATAGGCAGAGCGAGAGAGTTTAGTCTAACAAAAAACTGGACATATTGATGATTTAAATCAATTAAAATGCTTTTAAAATGACAGACATAACACAAGCTCCACTATTTAAAATTCTGTATTTGGTATGCTGATACTTTGTTCAATATTTTATCAGCTACTGACATATTTTCAAAACCACTTATGAAATGGCTCAATTATAATTCAGCAGTTTCCCTACCCAATAAAACACTGAAAAATTCCATTGGGGGGGGGGGGGAATCCAAGTTTTGCATAGTACATAGTTATGGAACAAAGAATCGTGAATGAAGGGTGCCCTCTGGTGGTTTTATGAAGGCACTGATTAAACAAACATTTGTTTTCAAAATGAATTATACAGAATGCTGATTTTTCAAAAGTGGGTGGATATCAGGTATAGGAAGCTATTAAAAATGGTTGAGCAGCTTTATATATTCAGAACTCATCACACTATGTCCATTTACTGCCATAATGTAAATGCACACTGAAATTCAGAACCAGGCTCAGTGGCTTTTATTTAACCCGCGCACAGACTCTGAATTTGTTTTAAACTAAATTACTGTTTGTTGACACCTCAGTTGTAGGTGTTTTTACACCTGAACTTCAACAAAAAAAGTCCAGCTTCCAAGGTGGAATTTGTTGCAACGTGGATGCCATGAATGTCGACACGAGGCCCTAAATGCAGCCGCAACAGCGCTGAAATTGCACTGTACGGAAAAGCACATATAGTGCAGCACTATGGTTGCTCTCAGCCTTTTGAAACAGGGCTGGGGAAGCAAGGGCTCTTCCGATGCTCTGGAACTCCAAGCCTGATCAGTCCCAGCCAGTATAGCCAATTGCCAGGGAGGACGTGAGCTGTTTCGCAAACCGCTCTCTGAAGTACCTCCCCGCTCATTTAGCGGGGGATTTTGAAACGTGGGCAGGGCCGCCCACCTGTCAATCATGTGATATCATAACAACACCATATGACACCCACCCACCTGTCAAATCTGGTCCATGGAGCCAAAAAAAGCCCCCTCCCCCAATCTATATTACCAATACTTTAAATGTGACCCTCAAATTACATGAAGAATTAGTGTGAATCGGAACGTTCATTCGCTTTAGTTCAGCGGTCTTCTGCTGATGTCTTCCAGTCCTTGCAGCTTCTGCTACATGTTCGAACGGGTCAACCAATGAAAATCCTAAGAATACAAAACAAAACAAAATACACACACAAAAAACACACAACAATATTCAACATTCAGGAACGAGAGGCTATGCTAGCAGATTAAAATATTTTACAGAAAGAACAATCTTATTTTTCCAGCAGTAGAATACTGGTAATAAAGCAACACTATAATCGTAGCAAAAGTAAAATTGCTTTTGTTTCTGATGTTTTCTATTTGCTTTATGGTTCTCTTTTGTAGGCTATCTTGAAAAATCTTGATTAATGAAATATTAATTTATTTTAAAAATATATAAAATAAAGCCAACACTATCACCTTAGCACAATAAAAAGGACAAAAAGTAGGTAGCGATGCTTAAGAGGAGTAACAGAGAGCACCATGCAAGGAAAGGGGGAGGGTGGTTGTGAAGGACCCCAGGGGCTGCCTTGCTGCATCCAGGGTTTGCCACCTGCTTAGAGGCAGGTTCAGGGCCCCCAGTCAATAGGGCTTGCTGGCAATCAATAGGGCTTACATTGGCTCCCAGCACATTTCGAAGCGTTGGTACTAAATGGCTTTGACCCTGTATACCTGAAGGATATACACCTGGGATGCGGGTGGCACTGTGGGTTAAACCACAGAGCCTAGGACTTGCCAATCAGGAGGTTGGTGGTTCAAATCCCCGTAACGGGGTTGAGCTCCTGTTGCTCGGTCCCTGCTCCTGCCAACCTTGCAGTTCAAAAGCATGTCAAAGTGCAAGTAGATAAATAGGTACCGCTCCAGCGGGAAGGTAAACGGTGTTTCCGTGCGCTGCTCTGGTTCGCCAGAAGTGGCTTAGTCATGCTGGCCACATGACCCGGAAGCTGTACGCCAGCTCCCTCAGCCAATAAAGCGAGCGCTGCAACCCCAGAGTCGGCCATGACTGGACCTAATGGTCAGGGGTCCCTTTACCTTTACCTGAAGGAGTGTCTCCATCCCTATTGTTTAGCCCAGACAATGAGGTCTACCTCTGAGAGCCTTCTGGCATTTGTCTCATTGAGAGAAATGGAAGTTACAGAGAACCAGGCAGAGGGCCTTCTCAGTAGTGGCACCCGCCCTCCCATCAGATGTCAAAGAGTTAAATAACTACACAACTTTTAGAAGACACCTGAAGGCAGCCCTCTATCAGGAAGCTCTTAATGCCTGATGTATCGTATGTTATATATATATATATATATATATATATATATATATATTCTGTTGGCAACCCAGTCAAGATGGGTGAGGTATAAGTAATGAATTATTATTATTAAAAGGGGTGCCTGGGAGGAGAGTTTGCTGGCAGAAGTGGCTGGTAGCTTCCCCTCCCTGCTGGATAGCCTGACAAGGCAGATAGGAAACAGCTGGAGCCAGAAACAGCTGCCGACATTGAGACATCAGAGCAGCTTCTGAGAGAGACTCTGGAGGAAGGGAGGGGCTTGGCATCAGAGGGGGGTGGTTGGCCGCCATCCCAGTCAAGCAAAAGGCAAGCAGGAAGAAAATTCTTGAATGGAGCTTCAGTGGCCGGCTGTCAACGCAGAGAGGCATTTAGCTGTAGGTCACTCTAAGTCAGGAGTCAGTAAACTTATTCAGCAGGGGGCTGGTCCACTGTCCCTCAGACCTTGTGGGGGGCCGGACTATATTTTTTTTGGGGGAAATGAACAAATTCCTATGCCCCACAAATAACTCAGAGATGCATTTTCAATAAAAGGACACATTCTACTCGTGGAAAAACACGCGGATTCCCAAACCACCCGTGGGCTGGATTTAGAAGGCGATTGGGCTGGATCTGGCCCCTGGGCCTTAGTTTGCCTACCCATGCACTAAATCAACAACCAGACTACAAAATAGACTTCCTTCGGTGTGTTTCTTTGACTCAATCCCAAAATGGTGGGAAGGGCTTGGAAAAGTACAGAGTGCACTTCCTGGGTGCTAAATTGTCTTTGGAGGCACCACAGTGTTGGCTGGGGCAATGAGGGGGTGCTGTAACACCTAATCTCCAATAAAAAGCCGTGAATTGAACATTCCCTGTGTTTATTTCCCTTTGAAGGAATGAATGCAGCTCCTTTTCGATGTAGCCCTGACCCATGGATGCCCAGCTGTGGCCAGACTGTCTCACAATTCTTCCTGGGAAGTGTAGGGGAATGAAATGAAAAGTAACCCTAGTGGACAAGTGTCTGTACACGTTATATTACACACACACACACACACACACACACACACACAGAACTACGGCCCTTTTTCAGACACAGACAGATGTGCACATGAATGTTTTAGTATACAGTCTACAAGGTTTGGAATGTTGTTGTTCAGTGCATTTGTACCTCTCTTTGCTGTTCTGTGACCACAAGATACTCTAGCCTAGAAGCATTTTAAAGAAGCATAATGAATGGTGACCAGAACTGGGGAAATCCAAGTTAGGGAGATCAGCCGGCCATAAGAGACCTCAGAGTGCCCGTTCTTAGTCATAACTGTTTATAATTTTTCCTTTAAAAAAAATAAATCAAGTCTGGCAGGCATATGGATTGTGCAAAATAGAAATTCATACAAAACTGAAGCCGAGGTTTGACCTGTTACGTTATTCTCCCATTACAAAGACTGAGAAAGGTCTTTGCTATCAAGTCCCCCTTTGCTCTCCCAAGTTATTTGCTGGTTTAACAATGGAGATTGTTGAGAGTAAATATTGCTTTGTAGTGCTTTCTGCCAACTTTTCTACTTTGAAATCTCAAGCAGCAGGCTTAGCTTACCAAGATGCCGTTGAATCTTTAACACAGATATTTCGCTATCGAAAGAGTTACTCCATTTAACACAGGAAGTGATGATTTGCTTACACAGAATGGGAGAACAAAATGGACACTCACTTGCTGCTTCCTGTCTGACTGTGGATCGATCATGACATTGATGAGGGAAGGCACATCCTTTCCCGCCAGGCTTGTTTTCAGGGCAGCTTGCAGTTCCTCTGGTGTCTGCACAAAGTACCCTTTGCCACCAAAGGCAGACATAATCTGCTCATAGTGAGCGTTTGGCAATAGAGACACTGGAGGAATGCTGAAATGAAGCAAAAAGAGGTCTAGCTTTGCCCAAGGAAAGCTCCTTGGCATCATAAAAGGTCACTCTGTTGATATGATAAATGCGCCCAGCAAGAGAAATTAATTGTTTTCGTGCCTCAGGGAGATAGATCATGGCCTGTTTAATTACTGTGCAAGCATTCAAGGATTATTTCAGTGGAGGTTTTAGCCAGGAATAGGAAACCCCAGTACAGTGGTACCTCGGGTTACGATCTTAATTCGTTCCGGAGGTCTGTTCTTAACCTGAAACTGTTCTTAACCTGAAGCACCACTTTAGCTAATGGAGCCTCCTGCTGCCGCCGCCGTGCAATTTCTGTTCTCATCCTGAAGCCAAGTTCTTAACCCGAGGTACTATTTCTGGGTTAGCAAAGTCTGTAACCTGAAACGTCTGTAACCTGAAGAGTCTGTAACCAGAGGTACCACTGTAATGGAGACCTTGTATCTCTTCCATTCACTTGCAAAGCATTCTGGATGATTTCTACAAAGCACTTAAGCACATCTCTGTAGCTTTCCCAGACAACCTGAAATAGTGCCTCACTGGACAAAAGCCAGCATAATTAAAGATTTAATTGTGGTATTTTTATGGTGGGCATCTGTCTCACACTCTTGGCTCTCAAATTTTCTATCTGTGCGGGCATGACTGTGCTCATTTCCTTTTCTGCCCTTTGAGCATTTTGCTGTATGAGGATGCTTGGAAACAGAGTGTAACTTTTCACCTCTGGAATGTTGGCACAAAGCTTATGGAAATACGGTTCCCTATGAGCTCAGGATGCGCTTCACTAAGAGCTCAACACACCTGTGCTGCCAGAGTCCTCCTCCCTGGCTGCCCATGCTCTTCTTTCGATTTCCCAACAGCAGAGAAATAACCCATAGAAACCACAGTCACCTTTCACTAGAATGAGTGAGTGTGCACTGTACTGCTGTCTTTCCCACAGTCTGTGGCACCACCTTGTCATCTACACAACTGCAGTCATACCTCGGGTTACAGATGCTTCAGGTTACATTTTTTCAGGTTACGGACTGCCGAAACCCGGAAGTACCGGAACGGGTTACTTCCGGGTTTTGGCGGTCGCGCATGCGCAGAAGCGCCAAATCGCAACCCGTGGGTGTGCAGACCATAGCTGACAACTTTCAGATTTGAAAATAAGTGATCAGCAGCCTCAAAAATAAGGGATCAGCAGCCTCAAAAATAAGGGATCAACAGCCTCACCTGTCCCGGGGACAGTCTATGGGATATCTAACAATCCAGGAAGCAGCGGGAAACGGCGCTGGAATAAGGGAATTTCCCACAAAAAAAGGGAAGGTTGACAGCTATGGTGCAGACGCGCCACTGCGAGTTGTGGACGCTGCAGGTTGCGAACGTGCATCCCGCACGGATCATGGGAGCCCAACACCTCAATTATCTCACTGGAGTTTGATTAGGGGTGGTAACACCCAGGAGATTCTATTATATGGAAATGGAAATGCCTACAGATGTACGACCATGATTATCGTTTTACACTAGAACCCTGGCATACACACAATTTCCAACAGGAAAACATTAATAAATCAGCTGAGCAAGTGCAGCACAGAAGTACCCACCATACAAAAGGTTCTCCCAGCTTCAAGATTTCCTTCCACGTATCTTGATCCAAGCCACTGTATATCCCATTGTTATTGACTACGATAATGACGATCGGCAAATGATATCTGCAGTGAATCCCAAAGAGAAACGCATTCAGAATGGTGTCATATTCAGGGGAAACTTGGCTACTCCACTTGTTCTGCATAAGACATTTTTTAAAAAGTTGAATCAGACAAAGGTTTTACCTGCAGATGGTCTCTACCTCCATGCCAGAGAATCCAAAGGCACTGTCTCCTTCTATACAGACGACACGTTGCTCAGGATTACGGTCTTTAGTAACCATAGCAGCTGCTACTGCAAAACCTAGCCCAACTCCCATGGTGCCAAAGGTACCAGCATCAAGCCTAGAAAGAAAGAAAGTCTGTCGTCTTTTCTTCCAACACATAATTTCTGCCAGCTGTTCTTAACTCAAATCCTTTGTGCCTTATTAAAGTGGCACAGGATATCTTTAGAAATAAGAGATACAGCATGTATTCCCAAGCAGAAGTGAATAAAGTGTGGATTTGTAAATGTTTGATAAATGAATGTTACACTGAATTGGTAGTAAGAAAGGGCCTCTTTACAGTCATTAAGTTACAACATTGTCATTTTAGCTGTTTTCAGAGTTAAATTCCTGGCATTTCAAAGCACATGCTAATTATTTGGATTAAGCTGCTCAAGGCTCGGGTGCAACCATTGTTTTCCCTCTGAGATTTGTACCACAAGGAAAATAAAAGCATGTCAATAGTTAGGGCAATTTCATAGGCTTCTCGGGTCATTAACAAAAAGGTTCATGAAATCTATTCCGTGTGTAATGCCCTGGAAAAATCAGCTGGGAGCTTGAACACAACAGAAAAGCAATGGCATTAGCACTGTAGCTTTCAAACTAAAGTTGAAATAAGAAAAGTGCCTTGTAATACCTATTAATATATATAAATATATATATTAAGAGATCTGTTGTGTTTAAATAGCCACACACAATACATGAAGGTCATGGCAAAGAAATATATTTGCTACAAACATTTCTCCACAAATATTTCTTCCAGGCTATTCCACTGTTTCTCCCAAAATTCTAATTACAAAATTCAAGTTTTACGGTGAGAAAGCATCTGTTCAAGTTCTACGATATAGCATGCAGATGCTGGACTTTAACCTGAAACATTCTGATGCTTTTTCAGAACTTTGGTATGTAGATCTAAAGCTAATGAAGAAGATTCTTCAGTTGCTAAGATAAGAAAGTACCCATTTTATTGATTTTTAGAAGTATTATACCCTGGAGCATGATTTTTTTTGCTCTAGGCCAATAGAATTCATTATATGATGCAGAAAAACTGGCCCGAGACCAGATTTTATTTGACCCGCAGACCACAATGATGAATATCTATGCTGAAGATGGAGCCATAAAATAATGCCCAGCTTAGAACTGTAATTAAAAATTAAAACACAGAAGGAAACTTTTTTTTTTTACCTGTGGCGGGGATGATAATTTGGAAGCATAGTGCGCCCAATGTCCATAGTGTTTGCTCCCTCGCTAACCAGAATGCAGTCCTTTGGCAGAAGTTCCCTGACATGGTGGAATACTTGATAGTAATTCATTGGCAGATGCTTGCGTAGTGATAATGCCTTAATGGGGAAAGCAAAGCAAATAAAAGAGCTTTTGAAGAGCTACTGCTCCTATGGCTGCTGTAGTTGTAAGGACTGTGAAAAGATGACTGATATTGATTCATTTATGTAAAATAGACTTGAAGTACAGTCGTATCTTGGAAGTAGAATGAAATCCGTTCTGGAAGTCCATTCGACTTCCAAAACATTCAAATACCAAAGTGCGGCTTCTGATTGGCTGCAGAAAGCTCCTGCAGCCAATTGGAAGCCGCAGAAGCCCCGTTGGACGTTTGGCTTTCAAAAATTGTTCGCAAACCAGAACAGTTTTGCAATGTTTAGGACCCAAAACATTTGGGAACTAAGCTGTTTGACTTCCAAGGTACGAATGTACTGAATTTTTAAATTTATTTTTTAATACAGGAAAACAGTGCACAAAGATTAACAGAACTGCAATATTAATTTCATAAGAAGAACCCAAATATATTTTTACTGATACAAATTGCTAGTAGTACCTTGGATGCTTCCTCGTTGCTTTTCATTTTTGCCCGTAGTTCTTTCCACCACTCTGCGCTAGAAGGATATTTCCAAGACATTTTGTTCAGCTGATCAAAAAGCTAAGAGAACAGCGAAACTGTTACCATGGAACAGCATCATGCTTTTTTGCCCCTTTGAATTGTTGTTGATATGCACCTTAAATAAAATATACAAACACACTGTAATTCAGATGTTGCTGTCTTATAACTTCGGGTATAGGGCGGTATAAAGGTAAAGGGACCCCTGACCGTTAGGTCCAGTTGCAGATGACTCTGGGGTTGCGGCGCTCATCTCGCTTTACTGGCCAAGGGAGCCGGCGTACAGCTTTTGGGTCATGTGGCCAGCATGACAAAGCCGCTTCTGGCGAAACCAGAGAAGCGCACGGAAATGCTGTTTACCTTCCTGCCGGAGTGGTACCTATTTATCCACTTGCATTTTGACGTGCTTTCGAACTGCTAGGTTGGCAGGGCGATATAGAAGTAAAATAAACAAAATTCCCATCATCCCTGATCTTTGGACATTCCGACTGGGATTTACCAAGCCCAATCACAACTGGAGGGCCACAAATTAGCCACCCCATCTCTACCCCGTTGATGAGGTATATATTGATGGGATATTAACATGCCTGGATAGTTCAATTGGTCGGAGCGTGGTGCTGATAATGCCAAGGTCGCAGGTTTGATCCCGGTATCAGACAGCTGGATATTCCTGCATTGCAGAAGGTTGGGCTGGATGATTCTCAAGGTCCCTTCCAACTCCACAATTCTATGATTCTATGATGTATGGGTATCGGTTCCTGCCCAATATATCAGCGTGAGGTTTGCCCCCAAGAAATTACCGTATTTTTTGCTCTATAAGACTCACTTTCCCCCTCACTTTTTAGGAGAGGGGAAATGTGTGTGCGTCTTATGGAGCGAATGCAGGCTCACAGAAGCCAGAACAGCAAGAGGGATTGCTGCTTTCACTGTGCAGCGATTCCTCTTGCTGTTCTGGCTTCTGAGATTCAGAATACTTTTTTTTCCCTTGTTTTGGTCCTCCAAAAACTAGGTGCGTCTTGTGGTCTGGTGCGTCTTATAGAGCGAAAAATACGGTACCTGATAATGCACACTAGCCAAAAATGACTCAAAATCAAGCTATAAATTCCTAAATCCAGCCAAACATAAAAAGGTATCTGTGTGTTCATGTGTTACCTGCTCCGTCACTGCTTTCACGTCACCCAGTAAGGCTGCAGCGGGTTTCACGTTATTCCCCAGCTCTTCTGCACAAATGTCTACCTGTCAAGTAAAAAAACAACAACCTGAACATAGGTTTGATTACAGCGAACAGCAAAAAGAGTTACAAGGCAATGTTCGCACTAACATTTCTCTCTTAGAATGCATCTCTTCGCATTTCTTTTCAGCTCACAGCAAGGAACACAAACAGGTTGTTTGCACTCATTATTTCCCCTCAGAAGTTAACTTTCTGCTGCTATACCTTGCTTGGACCTGCTATACTAAACCCAGCGTAATAAGAACCGTCACGCTGCGTGAGACAAACTGCCCCCAAGAGCAAAAAATGCAGCAGAAGGCTCAAACCTGGCGGTAGAAAAAGGCAGGAAAAAGAAGAAACAGTTGCACAAATGAAACCGGCTCCCGATGCGTTTCAAGGAAACTCTACATGAAGGATAATACATTACTTCTTGATTTAATTACTTGAGAGGACTTTTCTTCTCCAGCTCAGCTAAGTGTATGCTACCCTGAGCCTCACGGAGGATGTGATAAAGACGTAATAAATAAAAATGCCACTAACCTAGTTGTAGAATAACCAGCCACCCTAGACTGTGCCATACCCTTGACTGATTCTTTATTATGGCTCTGTTTGAATACCTGGATAATCTTTACATCTGACCGAAATCTTGGAGGAAGACCAAAGTGTAGAATCCAATTCAGTCTGGCACCCAGTAATATTATGACATCAGCCCCCTGCAGTGCCCTAATAGTTAAAAACAAAGAAAAGAATTTGATGGTTACTATTTTTGTACACGTTAGAACAAAAATTTAAAAAGACACTTGGAAAATCAGAAGTTCAAATTTTGATGTCTTTTACCCTGGGAAAAGAGTTTCCCACTCTAATGGCACATTATCTGTAGGTTACAGTCACTCATTCAGGCTCCACCTCCTAGACTGCCCTGCCATGCTATTGGGAGACACATGGTTGCTGCTTCACCAGCCACCAATTCTGCCAACCCAGATGCTGCGTCACCGCGAGATGTCCCTCTAACATTTCAGTCATTCAAATGTTACTGAAGCATCATAGAAACCAATTATAGAGGGTAAAAACATCAACCAGAATAAAGACAGGCACTTAACAGTTTGCTCATAGGAAACAGAAGGTAAATTCCAGTTATTCACTGGCACAGCAAATATTATGCACAAGATTTCAGACTGCACACACAGTCTTAATAGCCTACCAAAATAAACCAAATTTGACACTAAGAAAAGCTGAATTTTGCACGCTGTATACATTGCAACCCCGCCCCCCTCTTTTTCTAGTTATAGAGAGGGTCAAGGAATGATGCGTGGCACTGAAGTCCCAAATGACTGGTGTGGCGATCACACAGGGTCCCCTGACGTTTGACGGTCTATTGATCCCTGTGCCACCACTATGATCACTTCCCCGCTGCCACCAACCCGTTTCACTCAGGTACACACAGAGTCCAGACAGTTGTTAACATTAAATCAAATAAACAAGTTTGTTTTATAAGCCTCAACAAGGTTATGGTTTCAGATAATTTTTCTTGTCAGTTTCTTAATCTTAGTTTCTTTACTGACCTATACCTTCCTAATAACTTCTAATTGATTATCCCAACTGTCTATCTGAGAGGGCCTGAGTTACAGAGCCACCGGGAAATTTCCTCCCAACCTAATGGCAACTAATGGTCATGATTTCATAGCTTTGAGGACAGTGTACTGAACATATTAAACACCTTCCAATTCATACTTTAGACCAGGCTTCCTCAACCTCGGCCCTCCGGATGTTTTGAGTTCCCATCATCCCTGACCACTGGTCCTGCTAGCTAGGGATCATGGGAGTTGTAGTCCAAAAACATCTGGAGGGCCGAGCATGAGGAAGCCTGCTTTAGACTATGCTTAAAATAACTCTTCATCTCCATCGATAAGTCCCATATTTGTAAGGGTGAAAGAAATTCAGAAGGGTTCCATTTGAATTTTCTTGGATTACTTTCCTTACACTCAGCTGTAAGCAGCAGCAATTGGTGTTTTATATTAAGGGATCATTTAAAGAGCGGAATCTTCAAGAAATATATGCTTTAGCTTACGGTGTTGGACAAGAGGGGAAGATCTGATTCATATATTTACCTAGATCTGGCTGCAGCCACACAGTATGGATGGTTGTCAGGAACTACTCCCTTCCCCATTGGTGTAGGCAAAAATGGAAGCCCACATTGGTCCACCAACTTTCTGATGCTGTTTTCAGCATGTGCATAAGCAGCACCTGAGAAAGACACCCACCACCACAAGAGATTCCTTGACACTGTTAACATAGCTGCACCTGTCAGATGAAGAATCCCCCCCCCCCCCGCTGAACAGGTAAGAATCAGAAGTCACTGAAGTCCCACATACTAACAAATCAATTAGTTTTAAAACTGGCAAAGGTAGCTGTAGCATTCCGGGTCATACGTTCCTCACAGCCAATCCATTTTCAGTTGCCCAGTGATCAGTTTTAGCTGGGGAGGATTGGGTTAGCCATATGTACTAGTTGCAATAGCTGCACATTGCTATATATCTGAATGGGGAAGCGGGTGGCGCTGTGGGCTAAACCAGAGCCTCTTGGGCTTGCTTATCGGAAGGTCGGAGGTTTGAATCCCCATGATGGGGTGAGGTCCTGTTGCTCTGCCCCAGCTCCTGCCAACCTAACAGTTCAAAAGCACACCAGTGCAAGTAGATAAATAGGTACCACTGCGGCGGGAAGGTAAATGGCGTTTCCGTGCGCTCTGGCTTCTGTCACAGTGTTCCGTTGTGCCAGAAGAGGTTTAGTCATGCTGGCCACAAACGCCGGCCCGGCTCCCTAGGCCTGAAAGCAAGATGAATGCTGCAACTGCCTTTGACTGGACTTAGCCATCCAGGGGGTCCTTTACCTTTACCTATATCTGAATACCAGCTGCTGGGGAATAAGAGCGCAGAGGGCTACTGTGCTTGTGCCCTGCTTGAGGGCTTCCCATAGGCATCTGACTGGTCAAGGATCTTTGGTGTGATTCAATAGGACTCTTCTTATGTCTCTTGCATAAACAAAGGGACATTGAATAGAGGCCGCTGTATTTTTCTCAAGGGGGTTCATCTCCAACGTTCAGGAAGAATTTACTTTGTGATATAATCTAAACCTGGCAAAGAAGGAAACTCCCCCCTCGCTGTACTTTACGACCAGCCGTAAGCTTGAAAGAGGATTACCTTTGCCAATAATTAGGAGTGGTTTTCTGGAATGTGCAATGAATGAAGCCGCCCTGGAAACAGCGGCCACTTCAGCCATGCTGATGGGAGGTGCTGAGCAGCACTCGATGTATCTGGAAGGCAGAATGAAAAGGCCATTGTTTTCAAAAAAGAAATAGGAAGTCATAGAACTGCGGAGTTGGAAGGGACCACAAGAATTGCTAGTCCAACCCCCTGCAATGAAGGAGTCTTTTGCTAAACATGGGGCTCAAACTCACAACCCTGAAAATAAGAGTCACTAAAGTCACTTTTTAAACAGAAAAAAACAGAAATTAAAGACGAGTTTTGCTTTGTGTTTTACTTCAGATGTTTCTACTGAGCAACATTGTTCTACCAATGTACACAAATGGCTTCCAAAACAAACTCAAGTATTTCATTATATGCTTGTTACAAACGCTTACCCTGTAATAAGTTTCTAGTAGTCCACAGCCAGCAATTTTGCAGCGCAGTCTATGGTTAATACAGATTGCACATTCTACCTCGCAACATGTGGGAAGCCACATGCAGAATGGCACCAGCAGGCACCAGCTACATTCTTTCCTAAGCCAATTTCTTTCAGACAGCTGGAACACAACATTTTCAACAAAGTAAGCGTTTTGTTGTTGTTTCAACTTCCCACGATTTCCTTTGCTTACTTCTGTCAAATACAGGCGAGGGTTATTTTCCCCTCACAATGATTCCTCAAGAAACAAGACTGTAAAAAGAGCTGCAAATGGTGGCTCTCTGTGTGAGAGAGACCCACTGCAGTCTCCTATGTCCCCCTCCCCCACCATAAAGGCCTTCACTGAAGTCAGGGAATGTTCCAGAAGAACCTTCAATGAAGCACTCGGAACTGCAGTCGGAAGGTGGCTGGGTGCAAAGAGAGATGGGGAATTTGTGGCCCTCCAACTCTCCTCAGCTGCAGCCAGAATGGCCAATGGTCATTCCCCATTTTGCGGAAGCCACGCCCAGGTGCCCTAAGGCTGACATCATACCTGCTGTCAGATGTGGGGTGGTTAAGGGCAGGAAACAAGCAAGACCTTAAGGTAGGCAAGGAGCAAGGCATACTCCCCACTGGCATGGTCCTTTAAACCTTCAAAATCAAAAGTTTAGAGAAGCTGGTCCATATTGCTGCTTTAAACCTCTGAAATGGGACGTTTATGGAACAGTGTGGGGTGGGAGATTGAGCAAGGCATGACACTACTTCCAAACAGTCTGACACTGTGCTTTGAAGGCCTTCAAAGCTCAGCATCACCTGATGTCACTGTGATGCTTGATGACTAACAGGTGTGGGTAGGGAGATAAGAATCAGGCCCACTTGCCAGAAAAGCTTCCTCACCCTAGATTTATCATATAGGACTCAAAACAACAGTTAATCTGTAGCATCTCCTGTCAGCAATGTCTCACCATTTAACAGAATGCCATTTAAACGTTGGTTCACTGGCATATATGCTTGAGTCTCTTCCAGATCTGAAGACTCTTCCTAATAATGGTGAGCTCAGTTCTTCCAGGTCTTATTCTAGATCATCCTTCTCAACCTGGTGCCTTCCATGTTTTGGATGGTCTCAGGTAGCACAGGTGGGACTTGTAGACAAAAACGGCTGGAAGGCACCAGACTAAGGGTGATCAATATGGGAGTTTCCTTAAAAGGCGTATGCTAAGTAGCAATTTCAGGAAAGTAAACTGGAATCTGCTGGATTGGACACATCCCAATTCATCAGGAAGCTACTGACTATGAGGAATTCCTTGTGTTTTTTCAATATGTAGAGTTTATGCTTTGCCTTAGCAATACACTCCTGCAGGGGTCTCAAACACAGGAAAAATGACAATCGAGCACACCCACCCACCCTTTTTTTAAAAAAGGAAACAAGCACTCAGCTTAATAATAAAGGACTCACTTGACAGAGCTCTTCTTCACCTGCATATTTACAAAGTCTCCTGGTATGTCAAGGTAACAGGCACCTGGGCGACCGTAGATGCTATTTCTGACAGCCTAGATTGATGAGACAGAGAAATGCATTCCAAATTTGCAGGCAATGGCTAAACCTATTATCCAGCTTGGAGAACAAGAAAGCAGCTGGATTCAGCTTGCAGCCATCTGTAGCCACTGTTATATCTGGAGTAACCAAGTCAAAATCTCCTGCTGACTGCCTATTTTAAGTAACATGACCCCCATGTCAATGCCCCAGAGCTGTTCTTCAGTTTCTCTGGATTCCTTTTGTTCCAGCGCATGCCATAGGCTGAGCCAACACGCCTTGAAATGCCTATTGATTAAAGGCTCAAACAGTGGCTCAAACAACCGTGGCAGTTGTAGCAGGGAACTTTACAGAACTGTTTCCTGGAAAGTTTAGAGAATAAATGTGTCAGCCACAAAAATAAACCTGCAAGGCTACTCCTTGAGAGAGTAACTGGAAGGATTAGAGAGTGTCGTTAAGCACTCCGTGCTTGTTTTGTATAGGATATATATTTTGGGAGAATAATGCTGTGTTCACAAAAATTGTTTTTCTAAGAGCAGATGGAGTATTATTTACACTTTTAGGCTGCAGTCCTATAACACATGCTTGCCTTTGAGCAAGTGCCATTAAACTCAGTGAGGTTTACATCTGAGTAGACATGCAGAGGGCTGCACTGCCCACTATATATACAAAATAGCACATGTAAAGTATTAACATCTTCAAAAGCATTGGATGTTTTCTACATTTCTAGGGTGATCCTACAACTTACAGTTCAAGATGTACCAGTGAGAGGTGTGCCAACTCTATCAAGATGTCACCTACGATCTACTATAATGCACTGCCCCTGTAATACAGTGGTACCTCTGGTTAAGTACTTAATTTGTTCCGGAGGTCCGTTCTTAACCTGAAACTTTTATTAACCTGAAGCACCACTTTAGCTAATGGGGCCTCCTGCTGCTGCCGCGCCACTGGAGCACAATTTCTGTTCTCATCCTGAAGCAAAGTTCTTAACCCGAGGTACTGTTTCTGGGTTAGCGGAGTCTGTAACCTGAAGCGTACGTAACCTGAAGCATATGTAACCCGAGGTACCACTGTATTCTACTGCTGGTTGCCTGGCCTGCAGAGCTGAATGCTGAGGAGCAAGGATCAATGCTTTTCAACTGCGTCATACCTTCTCAATCACAGCAGGAATATCTTCAAGACTGCTGGGTCTGGCGGAAAATTTGCTGTACAGCCGACAAGCTTCAACCTAGATTCAAGCAAACACATACGCTAAAGCCAACTTTTACCTGTTTCTCATTTTCTCACAGCGTGAGTTTTATTGAAAGGAAGTAGCTCGGCTGGACTCAACCAAAGGTTTGCTCAACATCCTGTTTCCCGGTGTCCAAAGGGAAAGCCCACAAGTGGGGAATGACGGCAGTGGCCCTCACTGGCTATTGCTCTGCAGGAGCTGGAATTCAGTGCCATGCAGCCTCTAAAATTAGGCATCACAGCTGATGCCAGACAACGCTATGTTAACATGCAATATTCAGTAAAAGAAAGATTCTACAAAAAAAAACACAACAGCCTTTAAATCCAACCAATTGGTGCTTTCTGCAAGAGAGGGCATGCAACAGATACCATCCTATCAGGACGTCCATTCTGCAAAATGTCAGAATCGGGCCTTCGGTGCTGCAGCATCTAACCTTTGGAACTCCCTTCCACTATATATCAGATAGGTGCCTTTTCTATTGTCTTTTTTGGCACCTGTTGAAGACTTTCCTCTTCCAACAAGCCTTCTAAGTGGAGATCTTTATCCCAGCTGGCATCTGTATTGGATCTGAAGTGATTTTATATATGTGTTGAGATGGTAGTTGTTTTAAATTGGTTTTGTATACGCAACAGTTTTATACATGTTGATGCTGTATTGTAAATTGTTTTGGGATGCCTCAAGGAAAATGATTCATAAATTAAACAGCAACAATGAATAACAAAATATTTTATAAAATAAATAAACTCAATCATTAATTTCATATATATTTATTTTACTTTCTAACATTTATATACCACTTGATTGTAAAACAACTCAAGGCGGTTTCAAAAAGAATGAACCAATAAAATTGTTAGTAAAATCCAGTGAAACATTCAGAAAATTAAAACCACGATTTAAATTAAAAACACACCAGCATTCTAGATATCTGGGTAGGCATGTCTAAACAAAAATGGTTTCAGCAGGTGCCAAAAACAGTACAGTGAAGTTGCCTACCTGATATCACACTTAAAGATCAATTTCTTACATATGTGGAATGGGTATTATGTGGCATTTGGAGCAGGGCCAGTTCCATAGATCAAATACCCTAAACCATTTCATGCAACACCTTTATGGAGGAAAAAGTGACCAAGCTGTGTACCTGCGGAAATTCTTGGAAAGCTCCCATCGTTTCTTGATTTCTGTCTGAGGAACCTCCAATAACAATCAAAGGCCTGTGGAGAGGGGGGGGAACATTTCTTGGAACCAGGGGTCATGAATTATCAAGACTCCGACACACAGTTTCACCTTGATCCTGCAAAATGGCAGCATGGCATAAACCCCAGCATCTGGTACCCAGGAGTCCATGGTGATTGGGCCCAGGAATCTTCTAAGAAATTGTAAGCATGCTCAGCTTTGACAGACTCACCAGCTGTTGGGGGAGTCAGAGGAAAGGGGAGACAGAAGGCTGAATCTAGTCCTGCCTTCCAACACAGGTAATGGGCACTTCCAAGATGATGACTCCAATTAATGCTGCTGTGCGGGAGGATCTTTTGAATTAGGACCATCGCCATTTTGGGCCCAATCTCACTATCTTACTTATGATTTGGCCTTGCAAGCTTTCATCACTTCAAAACAAGATTCATACAGGACTCAAGTTAACATATCACCAGTTTGCCTAATATTACAGGCGGCAGGTTTTTTTGAGAGGGAAACACACAGAGAGAAAGGTTGAATTGGTTCTGCAAAAAGATTAAGAGATTTTTGCCTCCTCTTTTATGACTGAATAAACAAGATGCCTCTTACCCTACCAGATAGTATGATAGTTACCAAGTGATAATGTGCTACAGACACTGCACTTAAAGGATAAGATGCTGCTATAAACAACATCTTTAAACCAAGTTATGGTGTGATTATATTGGTCACACAGCTGACATGACTCAGCTGATAGATTTCCAAAAGTATCGAGCTCTTTTCCTGTATGATAATGAACTTGGCCGCTGTAAAAAAGATCTGAAATCTATGGACGAGTCACCATATGTATTTTGTATGCTATCCTAGGGCAATGCCCTACCTGCTTAAAACAGCTTTCATGACACGATTTGTATTGTAACTTCAGATTAATTAGAAATTGGGCTAACGGTCGATCAAAAAAAAACAAACGTAAGTTCGTTACCAGCAATTCATGTTTGCATTTGCCATTCCACCTAGAGCATGTATGAGGCCAGGACCAGAAACTACAAGGCACACGCCAGGCCTAGAAACAAAGGGGAAAAAACAAAGAAGGTATATAAAAATGTATGGAATGAACACACAGATTTAGCAGGCGGGGGAGCAAATTACTCTAAATGCATCATGAGGAAACACTGTCATAGGACGTCATGCTGAAGAATCAATTTGGAAGGACAGAGGCAGGCTACAAATTTTAATCAACAAACCATACAGGAAAGTCAGAGAGGCTCTGGGGAAGTATGCGCATATGAGTAAGAGAGGAGGGGTGTGGCTCCTTTCTGTCAAAGTATCTCCTTAGTATTGGCCACAACCTCAAAAATTCTCATGGAAGCTGATGTGCAAGTGCATATTCTTTTTGTAGAATGGAAAACTTCAGGACCTTCAGCAACCATTTCCTTTTCATCCTTTCTGTTTACGTTTGTTTAGGTTACATTTTCTAAAAGTGGCCTTTTATTTACTAATGGAGAGAAACCCTTGCTGCACATATACAGAGGTTTGCAGTAGAGAAAACATTGTAAAGTGGTAAGTACATAGAGGATTACAGATAGCAAAAACTGGTGTACAAACAGTGAAAGCTTGTAACTCTGGAAGGCAGCTACAAAGTCCTAGAAATCAATTCCTGATGATGATGATGATGATGATGATAGAACCAGGATTGTTTTTGCCTTTCAAACAATTGTTGACTCTGAAGAGCAACACAAGGAAGCACCTTACCTGCCCGTCAGATACCCAACTGCAGAGGCAGCATAGGCAGCCTATTGAAAAATAAAACAAATATTTATCAGAAGCTGGTGAATGGGATTTTGGTAGTTATAACAAAAAGTCACCCTTAAACACCCCCACTGAGAGGACTTCCTACGGATGTTCAATTGAAGTAAATGGACTATGCTCAGCACACAAAGATGTCCACATGTGAACTAGAATTGACACAGCTTCTGAACTCAGATTTTCATAGCTACAATAGAAAGGTTCTTTTAAGACTATTTCAGCTGGGGAGGTGGAACCTACGGGCAGAAGGGAATGCCTTCGCACTCCCATGTGCACCATGTAGATGACCCATATCCTTTACAAAAACAGAAATTTGTCCAGTCAAGGGGATCACCCAACATTTTGCATAGCAGAAACATTTCCTCTGAAAGCAGATCTTCCAGGTGCTACTGTTTGTACTAGCATTGCATAAAGAAGTGTTATGCAAGCACACAGATGGAAATCTCTGCACGTTTTTTCAACCAGTATTATGGAAAGTCACTTTGGACTACTTCTATGACTATTTTTCCCCATATGCCAGCAGGTGGCATCCAAGAGAAACAGTAGGGAAATTAAACAAGGCGGGGGGGGGGCGGTAGGAAATGCTCCATCAGCACTGCAGAAACAAAACTGCACTACTTGGATTCGAGTGGGCAGCTATTTCAGTCTAGAAACTATTACACGAGAATGTTATCTGTTTCGTTACAATCGACCTTATTCTACAGAAATATTAAAGTAGGTGCAACAAATGAATTCAGTTTGGGGCTGCTTTTTTTATAACCGAACACTCAACAATTCCTGTTTTGCTTTCCAGCTGTTCTGTGAGTAGTTGAAACGGCACAACTAAAGTTGATGCATCTCAGATTGGGACACAGCTCAGAGGAATAAAATTGAGGTTAAAAAAAAATTGAGGTCATTTTTTGAGGTCTTGTCAGTGAAATGGGTGGCCTTTTCTCAGTGGTGGCATCCCAAATGTGTAACACTATTCCCAGGGAGGCTTGCCTTGTGCTGTTTTTATAGTAACTTCACCCCCCAGGTAAAGACACTATCATGCTCCCAGGCCCCTTGAAAACCTGACTTCTGAACCACTGTTTCTCTCTCTCTGCTGGAAGTTTTTTATACCGCATTTTAAAACTGTAGTCTACTATTTTATGCTGTAAGCTATCCAGTAAAAAGTGCTACCAGGCAGATTTATAGAAATAAAATAAGGATGTAAATAATGGTTGCAAACACACACTTTCTCTCTCACTCATCACTTTTTCTGTTTCAGTGTTCACATAAGAAACATCAAGAATGCAGTTAAATCATTGGAATTGGTAAGTTATTATGACAACAAAGATTTGCCAGAGCAGTTCCCCCATTTATACCATGGTTACATTCATGCAAGCATGTCAAACTTATTTACTACTGATAATGAAACTGCCACACTGAATTAATGGGAAACACTGCACTGAAGACAGACTGACGTAATTTTCCAAAGCATGTTAAGGGTTGTTCCTGTCCACTATTACTATGCCATCTGTTTCATCACAATAATAAAAAGAGCAGGCAGCTTCCATCTACCCAAAAAAATAATGGTTTTAAAGTATCATTTGTCATTGGCCTGGTTTGCACCTCCTATTAAACCATAGTTAGTGCTTACTATGGTTTGACACAAATCAACAAGAGTGACACTGAAGGCTGCTCCAAGTTCCCACATCATTCCTCCTTAGCTGTACCAGGAGCAACAAGCCACAAGTGTTGGCTTGTTATATCATCTGGACCTAGACTCACGGTTTTTGCCAAACAAACCCCGAGTGAAAGCCAAGGTTTATTCTTGGTTTACTGCTTTGTTGGGGGATGGAGGGAACCACAAGTCTGGGTTCAAAAAGCATCACAAGCCAAGGCCTGTAGTTTGTCACTTCCAGAGCAGTGCAGTTGGGGAAGCTGCAAAGGGGAAATTTTTAGAGCGTGCAACAGCATGATGCTCTTTCACATTAAGCCATAGTTAAACATGAAAAGCATGGCTTTTTATTGTTATTTATACATTTTTTACAACTTGTATACATACAACAAATTGTCCATCACTTATCTCTTTTCTTAAGACTCCCCTCTCTCCATGCTAACATTGATCTTCTGCATATTCTGATAATCCACCCATTTTTGTCTCTAATCTTCCTTTATTTAGTATTATCTGCTGCTCATATGTTAACTCCTACTTGCAGCTTAAATTGAGTATAGTAGCCTCTAAGATGTTCTCCAAAACGCTTCCACTCTTCTCTTAGCTGCATCTCATCTTTATTTCTTATTTTCGTGGTTATGGTTGCTAATTCTATCAGTATATTCTGCCAGATTTCTTTCGTGGGTACCTCTTTTTCTTTGCACTTTTTCGCATAGACTGTTCTAGCTGCTGCAGTCATGTATAAAAAGGAGGTTAAATGCCTTCTTCGATTATAAGCATGGCTTTATGTGAACTGCAAACACACCCCTGCTCCTCACCTTAGCGGCCTAGAATTTCACCTCAGTGGCCTAGAATTTCTATTACATCAGGCTCTGGCAGGTGCATAGCTGTCTACTTTTCCCTTTTCTTGCGAGGAATCCTATTCGGAATAAGGGAATTTCCCTTAAAAAAGGGGAAAGTTGACAGCTATGGGCAGGTGGGATGAGGAGCAAATTTAGCAGAATCGTGAGGTGTGCAACTTCTCCTGAGCTAGATGTGTCATATTCCAAAACAAGAATCTATGCACTGTGCAAAACTAATAATATCACCAATTTATATGAGAGCCTATGGCATTGCAAAGTATATTCAAGCAGTTTGGTTGATAATTTGGGGAAAGGGGTCAATCTTCCCCACAACAGTTATCTACAATAGATGTAAATATATTCTACATATAGAAAGCCCTTAATCCCTACCCCAAAATATATGCACATATGTGAGCAGGAATGAGCAGGAATGGTTAAATAACCAATAATAGGTAAGTCCAGAAAGCATAGGAATGAATAGTCAACATGGCGCTTAGCGTAGGAGTAGAATATTGAGGTAGCAATTTAGATTCAACATGGCGGGTGAGAATGCAGTTTTTACATAATACCTTTGACGAACATAAGAGGGGAGAAAATGATTACTACTCAGAAACCAGAAGGCAATTTAATGTGACATGTGTTTCCCTTCTCCTTCTGAAAAAAAAAACATGGCAACGTACAAATGTTTAAAGATATACGGAGTGGGCGTTTCATTAGCAAGGCTCTTTGTACCTCACAAGCAGGGTGCCATGGCAACGACACATTGTCAAAGAAACTGACAAGCTAAAGTGACGCACAAAACTTTGCAGGTAGAGTGAATGGCACTTTCCCTTGCAATTAGGCAATCTTGTCAGCACTGCCTCTGGTTACGCAATTTTTAAACTTATGCTGCTGTAACTCAATGAAATTCACATGCAGTATCCTGCCATGTGCCACCACCGGGAAGAATTATGGAAAGCTTCAGCCACAGCCCCCTCAAAAAACAAACTATACCTCTTGCTACTCTGCCCTCTGATAATAACCATGTTGTCAGTTTGGGTTCTTCAAATGTTAAAACCTTTATTAACATGGGACAGTTCTCAAAATCATTTACAGGTAAATTACCACATTTTCCCGTGTATAAGACATCCCCATGTATAAGGCGACCCCTATTTTTGGGGACTCCAAATTAAGAAAACACCCCTCAGCACTACCCGCGTATAAGACGAGCCCCAATTTTTAAACCTAATTTTTTGGTTAAAAAACCCTAGTCTTATACATGGAAAAATACGGTAATTTCTCTCTCTCTGTATACGTGCGTGTGTGTACATATTATATACCACACTTATATTTTTTTGTAATAGAGAATATTTGTAGCACAAAGGCAATTCATTGCATTTTGGAAACAGAGGTGGTGAGCCATGAGATCAGAGTTCAGAGGGGTCAGAAAATCTGTGGTCACATCATACTTCTCAGAGTATACCCCACCAGAGACGTTACATTCATACTCATTTTGGGGGGGGACTATTAGGGTCAAATGACAGTATTTTTCCCTTGAAGGGAAGCAACTAAGATGCAATATTTTGTTGTGGGGTAGGATGCAAGACAAGGAAAATGTTAAGAAGCCCTCTGTCCCACCCTATGCTGGGTTTCCTGTAACAGATTGCAGCTTCCACAACCACATATAAAAAACATCGCTGAAAGACTATACGTGCCTGAGAACTGTGCATCATTCTCATTTTCAGATTATGTATAGGCTCAGATTGAGGCCTGGCTAACAAACAAGGCTACTGAAAATACTTACAGCTTGTTCATTGCGCATTCCAATATATTTAATTCCACTTGCTTGAGCAGCAACTGCTACTTCGATCACTGGAACACCAACAATGCCAAACATATATTCGATGTTCTGAAATAAATAGCATTTTTTAAATAATAAGCTGACTCCCCAAAATATTTATCTTCTATTATCTAACTAGGTTTTTTGTTCGTTTAAGGTCAAGATTTCTAGGAGAAAGCTAGAACTGCAACTAAATACTTGCAGCTTCAACCCAAGCTAGGATTTTAGTAATGCCATGCGTAGACCACTGCAGCTGGTATACCTCTATTGATGATACTATATACCCAAGGTTCTATTAGTGCAACAGTCAATAAATGCTTATAAAGAATACTTATTTTTCACAAAAATACATTTAAACAGACATTTCCATGTATCTAAAAATAAGGAATTGTAACAAACATGTGATCATCATTTGGAAGAAACAATTACCGTATTTTTCCATCTATAAGACGCCCCCATGTATTTTTGGGGACTCTGATTTAAGAAAATGGGGGGAGATACTATTCGTGTATAAGACGAGCCCAGATTTTGAACATTATTTTAGAGTAAAAAAAATAGTCTTATACACGGAAAAGTGCAGTACTTTAATAAAATGTATATTTATTAACATTCTGGGTAGTTCACACATTTTTTTACTACAAACACAGTCCCAGATATGCAAGAATGGGGACAAATAAGGTTTGTGAATGGGGAACATGTCAACAACAAGAACTGTGTTCCCATGTGGTTGCCCGGATAAAGAGACATCATGATCACTATAATTGTTACTGCTATCCTAGGATATGATGGCTGATTAACACATTATGTGTGTGTGTCTACACTAGGCGTAGCCAGTGTGGTGCCCTCCAGCTGTTGTTGGACTTCCATCAGCAACAGTCAGCATGAGCAGTGGTCAAGAATGATGGGAGTTGGCCCAACATCTGGAATGCACCATGTTAGCTACTCCTGGTGTATGAATGCATGACCAAGGAGATCTGAAAAGAAGAAGAGGAGGAGGAGGAGTAGTTTGGATTTGATATCACTACCTGAAGGAGTCTCAAAGCGGCTAACATTCTCCTTTCCCTTCCTCGCCCACAACAAACACTCTGTGAGGTGAGTGAGGCTGAGAGACTTCAGAGAAGTGTGACTAGCCCAAGGTCACCTAGCAGCTGCATGTGGAGGAGCAGGGAATCGAACCCGGTTCCCCAGATTACGAGACTACCGCTCTTAACCACTACACCACTTGAGCAGCTAATACAGGGATCGGCAAACTACGGACCCTGGGCCGGATCAGGCCCACCTGCGTCTTAAATCAGGCCCGTGCCAGGAAGCCAGAACCCGCCGCAAAGCCGAGACTCCCAGCGATGGCGACGGGAAGAAGAGGCCGAGCGGCAGTGGCTCTGCCACTCAAACGCCACACCTGGTTTACCTCAGCGGCGTTTGATTGGCAGAGATGTCCCAGCGCCACGCTGAGGTAAACTAGGCGCGGCGTTTGATTGGTAGAGCCACCGCCGCTCGGCCTCTTCCTCCCGTAGCTGCTCGGCCTCTTCTTCCCGTCGCTATCACTGCCCTGGTGCTCCTGTGGGCCAGAGAGCAGAGTGGACGAGCTCGCTCTGCCTACCCATGAGAAGCAGCGGCGGCGGCAGGTCTGAGGGTCAGTGGACCGGCCCGCTGCTAAAAAAAAATGCCAACCCCTGAGCTAATACATGCAACCACCCAGTTTCCTACGGAAACAGCACAAAAAGCTTTCCAGATGTTGTGTGAAGTAGATTATTCTCATCTTCAGTAAAACAGTATGTGGGGTTGCCAGAAATTTAGGCAACATAGCTGATGATCAGCATACGGATGTTCTTTATACAAAAGAAATGCTCTTCTGAGTGATCACACAGTGAATCTTGGTTTGGAATCCTTGCGTGGACAAAAAAGTAGGTTTAGCCGTTATGGTTTATGAGGAAATTGTGAAAGGACCCAAGGCTTCTCAAAGGCCCAAGCCACAATTTGGTATTCTTCCTGAATGCAGCTGTTATGTATGATATGCCAATATATACTAAACTTGTACATAATATAGGTGTTTACTGCCAGTATGTACCTTTCTGGCTTGTATGTACAATGTCATCTAGGTAATCTGGGCCACCAAAAGGAAGACAAGGCCATATGAAGGAAGCCAAGTCAGCTAAAGCAGAGTTCACTGAAAGCAGTTACACATGCATGCCCAGGTTGCTGACAATGTGATACTTTCAAAGGGCAATAAACCCTGAGCTAAGGGAATTTCTTCTGCTGAAGCGATTGCATATAATGTTTAACTTATTAAGCAATGGACTTTCCACCAATGGGCCTAAGAGGGAAGCCTCGTTAGCAAAAATGTCTTCTTTTTTGAAGCATTATCTGGAAAATCATTTATAATTTGATTTTACTCAAGCTTTAGTTAATGGTTGATCACTGGGTCCTTGATGATGTGGGAACGTTATTGCATGAATTGTTGCAGCTAGGAAGTCGAAGGGACAAGTGGGATATAAAATGGAAGAATGGTATAAAGAGATGTGGGATATAGCTATTAATGATAAATTAACATGTACCATTAAGGTAAGACGAGGAATATACAGGAGAAATTATTCTAAGGCAAGCTTCCTTGACCTCAGCCCTCCAGATGTTTTTGGCCTACAACTCCCAGGATCCCTAGCTAGCAGGACCAGTGGTCAGGGATGATGGGAATTGTAGTCTCAAAATATCTGGAGGGCTGAGGTTGAGGAAGCCTGTTCTAAGGAGTAGAATTTGTACTGTTAAAACAGAAAGGGGTCAAACCATCACAGGAGGTGCTGAAATTTTGGGTGGTTGGATAGCTACAATGGAATAGTCTCAGTGGTGGGGTGCACATTTTTATTCTTATTATGATTATTACTTTGTCCAAAGACAAAACTTAAAAAAGAAGCCACTTCACACCAGGTCAAAAGGTTTTGTCTTGCCTAATATTGTCTACATAACTTTATCCAGGAGTTTCCAGGCAGGGATCTGTGCCCCATCCCCACCTACAAGAACCTTTTCGAAGGGCGGGCAGACATGGGGCATCCCGTGCTCTTTGCCACTCTGCTATTGCTTCTCCTGGCATGCTGTGATCTTTTACCTAAATCCACTAATCCTTGATGCCATTCCCAGATTAACTAATTCTTTTTATCTTCCCTACACCTTCTTGTGTAACGAGAGCCAAACCAGCACAGCAGCTCGACAGGTACATGCTGAGAACGCGAGAAGCAGGTGACAGGGTAGTAAACAACAGGGTAGTGACAATTCACGACCAAACCTGGGGCTCTCCTGTTGCTGTTTCGCCCCCCACTGCATATTGGCAGGGCCGGATTTAGGTTTGATGAGGCCCTAAGCGACTGAAGGTAATGTGGCCTTTTATTTGTCCAGCTGTCTTTTGTCAACAACAAATTATCACTGTTTTTTGGGTTGAATATATGCTGTATGGTAATTTATGGACCTAATGGGTATCTAAAGCCATTTGCACATAACAGATAGGAGCATAAATAACACAAAACACTGTTGCTGTATGTAGGTTTTGTTTTATTTGTTTTTTATCTTATATTTTGGAATTTTTTCCTTTAATTTATTATGGGGGCCCCCAAGAGAGTGGGGCCCTAAAGTATAGCTTGTTTAGCTTGTACGTAAATCTGGCACTGCATGTTGGAAAATAATAATAATAATAATAATAATAATAATAATAATAATAATAATACAGTAATAATAATAATTATGTGGATCGAGCATAAGCAGTATGTGGATCGAGAACTCCCAGAAGTGCAAGCTGGATTTAGAAGAGGCAGAGGAACCAGAGACCAAATTGCAAACATGCGCTGGATTATGGAGAAAGCTAGAGAGTTCCAGAAAGACATCTACTTCTGCTTCATTGACTATGCAAAAGCCTTTGACTGTGTCGACCACAGCAAACTATGGCAAGTTCTTAAAGAAATGGGAGTGCCTGATCACCTCATCTGTCTCCTGAGAAATCTCTATGTGGGACAAGAAGCTACAGTTAGAACTGGATATGGAACAACTGATTGGTTCAAAATTGGGAAAGGAGTACGACAAGGCTGTATTTTGTCTCCCTGCTTATTTAATTTATATGCAGAATACATCATGCGAAAGGCTGGGCTGGATGAATCCCAAACTGGAATTAAGATTGCCGGAAGAAATATCAACAACCTCAGATATGCAGATGACACAACCTTGATGACAGAAAGTGAGGAGGAATTAAAGAACCTTTTAATGAGGGTGAAGGAAGAGAGCGCAAAATATGGTCTGAAGCTCAACATCAAAAAAACGAAGATCATGGCCACTGGTCCCATCACCTCCTGGCAAATAGAAGGGGAAGAAATGGAGGCAGAGAGAGATTTTACTTTCTTGGGCTCCATGATCACTGCAGATGGTGACAGCAGCCATGAAATTAAAAGACGCCTGCTTCTTGGGAGAAGGGCAGTGACAGGCCTAGATAGCATCTTGAGAAGTAGAGACGTCACCTTGCCAACAAAGGTCCATATAGTTAAAGCCATGGTTTTCCCAGTAGTGATGTATGGAAGTGAGAGCTGGACCATAAAGAAGGCTGATCGCCAAATAATTGATGCTTTTGAATTATGGTGCTGGAGAAGACTCTTGAGAGTCCCATGGACTGCAAGAAGATCAAACCTCTCCATTCTGAAGGAAATCAGCCCTGAGTGCTCACTGGAAGGACAGATCGTGAAGCTGAGGCTCCAGTACTTTGGCCACCTCATGAGAAGAGAAGACTCCCTGGAAAAGACACTGATGCTGGGAAAGATGGAGGGCACAAGGAGAAGGGGGCGACAGAGGACGAGATGGCTGGATAGTGTCTTCGAGGTTACCAGCATGAGTTTGACCAAACTGCGGGAGGCAGTGGAGGACAGAGGTGCCTGGCGTGCTCTGGTCCATGGGGTCAAGAAGAGTCGGACACGACTAAGCGACTAAGCAACAACAACAAAATAATAATAATAATAATAATAACAACAACAACAATAATACTGTAATAGTAATAGTAGTAGTAATATAATAATAATAATAATAATAATAATGATAATTTATTTATACCCTAGCCACTCTGGGCTGCTCCCAACGGAATACTGTATTAAAATCACGATAAAACATTAAAAACTTCCTTAAACAGGATTGCTTTCAGATGCATTAAGCGGGCTACACGTCCTCGACAGGGACTAGAACCCTTTACGTAAAACTACGCTTTTTCGAAAGAAATGCTCCTTCCCGCTCTCCGTAGGAAAAGCGTAATATTTCCGGTTTGGCTGCCGGGGTTCAAAGGTCACCCAAGAGCGTTTCTTACTTGCACCTTCAGCGCTTCCGCGATGACCTGAGCTCCGCTGACACATTCTTCTTCCTGCCCTGCCGGAGCCATCGTTTCCACAACCGTCTTTTCCCGAGGAAAGGGAGAGACAAGCAGCAGGCTACCTTCAAACCACGCTGAGGTAAGGCTCCAGCGGCTAATGAGGGAAGCGCTAACCGCGTGATTGACGCGCGCCGCCGTTCAATAGGAAAAGGCTTCGAGCTTAGCTGATAGGTGGGGGAAATTAAATGGGCGGGGCCGTTGGAGCAGCCCGCCTCAAACCACCCCGCACTCTGATGGAGAAGACTTGGGCGGGGGGAGGGTGGGTTGGAACACTGCGAAGAAAGGCTCTCGATTGGTCACTTGCTTAGCCAATCCGAGCCCGCAAAAACGGGAACACGGGAAGGCAGATGCGTGGCTGAGGTTTTTTGCTGACAGGGACTCAAGGCGGATAGCAGATAAAATAAGAACAAATAGAAACAACCATTAAAAACACACATTAATAGATTTGAAATTATCTATCTGTAATATGTGTGTGCGCGCGCGTATATATGTGCATATATGTATAAATATATATAAGTGTGTGTGTGTGTGTGTGTGTGTGTGTGTATACACACGCGCGCGCACTATTAAAGCATAAGACAATAAACAAAAACACCAGCCCCCTCATTAAAAGCAGCCAGGTCCCCAAAACCTGTTGGAAGAAGGTCTTCACCTGCCAGCAAAAGGATAAGACGCTAATGGCTTTAATGGGTGTTCCTGTGCTATATAGTTGTGTAATGTGTCTGCTTCAGACCATATTTTGCGATCTCCTCTCTCACCCTCATTAAAAGGTTCTTTAATTCCTCCTCACTTTCTGCCATCAAAGTTGTGTTATCTGCATATCTGAGGTTGTGGATATTTCTTCCGGGAATCTTAATTCCATCTTGGGATTCATCCAGCCCAGCCTTTCGCATGATGTATTCTGCATATAAATTAAATAAGCAGGGAGACAAAATACAGCCTTTCCCAATTTTGAACCAATCAGTTGTTCCATATCCAGTTCTAACTAGCTTCTTGTCCCACATAGAGATTTCTCAGGAGACAGATGAGGTGATCAGGCACTCCCATTTCTTTAAGAACTTGCCATAGTTTGCTGTGGTCAACACAGTCAAAGGCTTTTGCATAGTCAATGAAGCAGAAGTAGATGTCTTTCTGGAACTCTCTAGCTTTCTCCATAATCCAGCGCATGTTTGCAATTTGGTCTCTGGTTCCTCTGCCTCTTCTAAATCCAGCTTGCACTTCTGGGAGTTCTCGATCCACATACTGCTTGAACCTTCCTTGTAGAATTTTAAGCATAACCTTTCTAGCGTGTGAAATGAGTACAATTGTGCGGTAGTTGGAGCATTCTTTGGCACTGCCCTTCTTTGGGATTGGGATGTAGACTGATCTTCTCCAGTCTTCTGGCCACTGCTGAGTTTTCCAAATTTGCTGGCATATTGAGTGTAGCACCTTAACAGCATCATCTTTTAAAATTTTAAATAGTTCAGCTGGAATACCATCACTTCCACTGGCCTTGTTATTTGCAGTGCTTTCTAAGGCCTATTTGACTTCACTTTCCAGGATGTCTGGCTCAAGGTCAGCAACCACACTACCTGGGGTGTACGAGACATCCATATCTTTCTGGTATAATTCATCTGTGTATTCTTGCCACCTCTTCTTGATGTCTTCTGCTTCTGTTAGGTCCTTACCACTTTTGTCCTTTATTATGGTAATCTTTGTACGAAATGTTCCTTTCATATCTCCAATTTTCTTGAACAGATCTCTGGTTCTTCCCATTCTGTTGTTTTCCTCTATTTGTTTGCATTGCTCGTTTAAGAAGGCCTTCTTGTCTCTCCTTGCTATTCTTTGGAAATCTGCATTCAATTTCCTGTATCTTTCACTATCTCCCTCGCATTTTGCTTGCCTTCTCTCCTCCGCTATTTGTAAGGCCTCGTTGGACAGCCACTTTGCTTTCTTGCATTTCTTTTTCATTGGGATGATTTTCGTTGCTGCCTCCTGTACAATGTTACGAGCCTCCATCCATAGTTCTTCAGGCACTCTGTCCACCAAATCTAAATCCTTAAACCTGTTCCTCACTTCCACTGTGTATTCATAAGGGATTTGACTTAGATTGTATCTTACAGGCCCAGTGGTTTTTCCTACTTTCTTCAGTTTAAGCTTGAATTTTGCTATAAGAAGCTGATGATCTGAGCCACAGTCAGCTCCAGGTCTTGTTTTTGCTGACTGTATAGAGCTTCTCCATCTTTGGCTGCAGAGAATATAATCAATCTGATTTCGATGCTGCCCATCTGGTGATGTCCATGTGTAGAGTCATCTCTTGTGTTGTTGGAAAAGCGTGTTTGTGATGACCAGCTTATTCTCTTGACAAGTGAGGAGGAATTAAAGAACCTTTTAATGAGGGTGAAAGAGGAGAGCGCAAAATATGGTCTGAAGCTCAACATCAAAAAACGAAGATCATGGCCACTGGGCCCATCACCTCCTGGCAAATAGAAGGGGAAGAAATGGAGGCAGTGAGAGATTTTACTTTCTTGGGCTCCATGATCACTGCAGATGGTGACAGCAGCCACAAAATTAAAAGACGCCTGTTTCTTGGGAGAAGGGCAATGACAGGCCTAGACAGCATCTTGAGAAGTAGAGACGTCACCTTGCCAACAAAGGTCCGTATAGTTAAAGCCATGGTTTTCTCAGTAGTGATGTATGGAAGTGAGAGCTGGACCATAAAGAAGGCTGATTGCCGAATAATTGATGCTTTTGAATTATGGTGCTGGAGAAGACTCTTGAGAGTCCCATGGACTGCAAGAAGATCAAATGCATCCATTCTTAAGGAAATCAGCCCTGAGTGCTCACTGGAAGGACAGATCGTGAAGCTGAGGCTCCAGTACTTTGGCCACCTCATGAGAAGAGAAGACTCCCTGGAGAAGACACTGATGCTGGGAAAGATGGAGGGCACAAGGAGAAGGGGGCGACAGAGGACGAGATGGTTGGACAGTGTTTTCGAGGTTACCAGCATGAGTTTGACCAAACTGTGGGAGGTAGTGGAGGACAGAGGTGCCTGGCGTGCTCTGGTCCATGGGGTCACGAAGAGTCGGACACGACTAAACGACTAAACAACAACAACAAAATGTGTCTGCTGTGAAAAATTAGCAGCAACTCAGGATGTTTTCCTATAACAACACACATGTTGCGCTTTGTAGTGGAGAAGGGGGACTGCACTCCTTGCTCTTATCAATTTCAAGTTTTTATTTAGCTTTTATAGATGTTTTCTCCATTGCAGGTTTTTATCGAATGCTTAAAAAAAAAAAGTTTTAATGCTACTGCAAATTGCTTTGAGAAGCCACCTGACCTCGAAAAGCTGGTTTTTTAAAAAAATAATTATATTATCAGGTGCCTCTTTGTTAAACTTGGTACCGTTTTTAACACAGGAAGCTGCCTTATCCCGAATTAGACCATTGGGTCCTGCTAGCTTAGTGCTGTCTACACTGACTGACAGCAGTTCTCCAGGATTTCAGACAGGTGGATCTCCCAGCTAGCCCTACCTGGAGATGTCAGTGGTTGAAACTGGGACCTTCTGCATGCACATGGTCTATTCTTGAACTACAGCTTTTCTTTTTTTAAAAAAAAAAACAGACTTGAAAAGGGATATTTTAAATGGTCAAGCTATCTATCTAAACCACTGTATAAGATTCCTAGTGATAAGAATTACATCTTCCCCATCTGTATCTTGTCTTTCAACAGCTGCGCCAGCAGCCGGAGTATGGTGAGAAACTGAAGTTTCCCCACGAAGCTCTCACAACTTTCTTGCAAATTATTTCTAGATATGACGACACTTAAAAACTGGAGAAGCCAGTCTATTATTTCAAGGCGTAGCATTCTGTTTTTGTCTGTTCTGCATTATGAAAATAATGTAGCAATCATGAATAAATGCATGGGTGTGGTATAGATGGGTAGCACTGCCATTTTCTAAGGCCGTGTTGTAGAGTATTATGCCTGGGATTCATAGGAACACATGCTTAGTTCTGCACAGTGCTTTTTTTTCCTAAAAAAATGTTTAGGGGTGCTCTCATTTTCCTGTTAATATTAAAATGCTGCCCCTCCATGAGGCCATACTTAGATTCACAAAATGTTTAGGGATATGTGTACCCCTGCGTTCCCCCAGAAAAAAAGCACTGGTTCTGCGTGTCCAAGGGGGCTTTAGGCTTATTTTTATTGAATATAATTACCATGTGGCAAAACCCTTTGAAACTGAAGGGACTTTTGAAAGCTGCTTATAATATCGTGTGAGAGTCTGCAAATCAAAGAAAAGAGACCCTGGTGTGCTTAAATAAGCGATTCGGATCCCAGCGTGCTCATGTATGTATGTATGTATGTATGTATGTATGTTGATTGATTTATGATGGAAGGTTCTAAGGCTTAAGGCCTAAGCTCTGGAGCCAAGTGGGATTCCCAGGTAAGATCCTCCCTCTATTGTGTGGGCAGGTAATCCCTCCCCTACCTGGCCTGGTCTCCTTGGCAACGCTTCCCCCAGGTGGGATTGGGCAGCTCACTGAGGTAGGCGGAGACCTCCAGGTATCCCACCTGAGGGAAGGCAAAGCCAAGCCTATGCTGTTGGGGCCGCTCCAGATCTAGGGGCTGCGCGCGTCCACGCAAAGGGCGCCCCCCGTTTTAAGCGGGGAGCGGTCATTATGATGGAAGGTTCTAAGGCTTAAGGCCTAAGCTCTCCACAGGTTCTCAGGGCAGCTTACAAAAAGTTAAAAAGACAGTGAAACACATTAAAACAGAAACAGTAAAACACCAAAATATAAAAGCAGCCAGTGGAATTAAAAACCAAACCAAGCAACATAAAATAAATGTATTGCTGATGAAAGAATCTGGTAAAAGAAGAAGGTATTTGCTTGGTATTGAAGTGACATCAAGATCGGTGTCAGGCAAGCCTCCCTGGGGAGAGTATTTCATTATGGGGTGCCACCATCAAGTAGGCTCTTTCCCCCAATACACACTTCAAATGATAGGGGCATTAAAAGAAGTTTTTCTTGAAGATCTCAGGAGACAAGTATTCTGTG